TTGGTTCGCGATTTTTAGGAATACTGTTCTAATTTCCGCTTGAATAATGATCAAAAGTATAAATCGGATCGGAAATGATTACTAAACCACAAATAAAGCAGCATCATTGTTTTTTTCTTTGCTACGCTGGACGTGAAACCGGCAACGAGCAACTACGGGCCGACAAAATAAAATTAAAAAAGAACACGGTACTCGAAAGATTTTGCAAAATGGTAGCTGTAGATTGCTGTTCTAACGGTCGACTGAAGACCAGTATTCGTTCGGGCGACGCTAGTTTTCACGTGTGGGTTGCTGTTCGTGTTCTTTGACGACGAAAAGAGGAAGTCCGCGGAGGAACCGGATCCCGGAACGGTGGGATCGCTGCCGCTTTCCCTTCGGCATCTCCCCCGCGTCCGTCCTTCGGCATGCGGGCCGCTCGTTGCCGTCTGGGCGGTCTCCGTCGGGTGATGGCATGCAGAGGCCGCCACACACGTACTCCCGTTCCGTTGGTGTTCGGTCACTGAACGGAAGCTCGAACTCGCTCGCGAGAGCGGCATTCGTCCATGTTGACAGAGTCGGCGCGCAACGACCGTGCTGCTATAACCCACCGCGGTAACCAGAGTCTCAATCTCCTAAATACTACCGATACCGACTATTCACACTTGACGTCACTCCTACGTCACCTCCGTTTTCGGAGGCCCAGAAACAAGAGTGGAGATGGTTCAGTTTCGGTTTCTTTACTTCTTTCGTAGGCACATAAATACGCGTCATAAATGTCTACAAAAAATTGGGCGGCATGCTATGTTCCCAAGAAGCATTAAAACACCTTTTTAAAAAAATTAAATAAAATCGTCTTCATTGTCCCTTTAAACATGTATAGACCTTGGACTATAGCCCGGAAAATACGATATAAAAAATAAGCACACTGTTAAATATAAAGTCAGAGCCAGCAGCGAGCTGCAGAGTGGATGTTTACAACAATTAACCCTCCAAGCTGCTTGAGAAATTTCCCGTCAAATTACGAGGGCGGCCAATAGTTTTGTGTACGTCTTAGAGGCTCGTGAATCGAGTGCACTGGAAACTTCCGTTTTCGAAGCCGCTAAAACGTCGTTCAATGACATTGCGTCGTTACAAAGACGTTAGCCGCTCGCTCATGTTGTCTGGCTGCATCAATGTTGTTGCAAAAACAAACACAGAAACTAAGCTTCCATAAAAGGTCGTACTCACGAGTTCTCCTAAGAGATAAGGCGCAGGGCTCTGAATAAAGGCGCCGCCGCTGCAGCACGGATAAATAAACACGTGCATATTATAACAGAAAACATAACGTGCTGAAAAAGAAACACCAAAAGCACGATGTGTCGGTGGACGCCCGTGTTCTCAGACCGCAGATTTCGAACACGCTCGAGCGCTTTCCGTCTTCAACCGAAAGCACTCGAACCGCGAACATGGAGAAATATTCGATTACAATACGTAAGCAAGACATTGCAAGGATAAAGTCACATTGCATACCTTGAAGTGGGCGATTTAGTCGTCGATGAGCTGATGAGGGCCTGATGCATCACAGAACACTACACTGACCACGATGTCAACAGCCACCGAGGCGAGTTCGACGAACACCCGAAGAGCGATAGCATGGCGATAGCTGCTGCAACCTCTGTTCGCGCCTGCGCGGCACGGGCGCACGACTCGGAGCAAAACCGCAAAACAACAGAGATGGGTGTTGCAACAACCGCAACAACGCACCAAGACCGCCATTCTGCGAGAGAGGAGCGCCGCGAAAGAGCTGCGGGGCTGCGCGCTGCGCGGCGGGGCATTCAACTCCTCGCCATCTGCGCATGCTTGCACTCCTGGAATTTCGGCTTTTCTGGAAGGCTCAGCAGCTCTCGCGCCAAATAAATAATGTGGGCATCCTCGTATTTTGAAATGATGAGCGTGCCCGTCTTTTTTGACGAGGGAAAGACACGTCAAATTGGCGTAAATTTTTTACAGTGCAACTTTGAACCGTTACTTAACGATTGTTAAGGCGGTGTCACACTGCGGAAACAGTCGGAGGACTATGTCTGAGAACACGACGGAAACACGTGTCCGGCTACCCTGTCACATTGCGGCAACAGCAACTTCCGGGAAACATGTCGTTGTCGCCCGGAAACCATCTCCGCCGACTTGTTGTCCGACGGTCGGACAACAGCCTGTCACACCAAGAAAGCATGTTGAACGACACGAAGTACCCCCTTCCTCACCCCTCCTTTCGTACCCTTCCTCTCTTTCGATCATTTGCGCAGTGCGCGAAGTGCAACCGGAACCATCGCGTCGAGTCGGTGCGTCCGCAGCAGGGTGGCCAGTTCCGCTTATTAAAAGCGTATTTGTGGGCTTCTTTTTTTTCCGAGTCGCTGGTAGATTTTTCCAGTCGCTTGTCTTGCTTTTTGTGCTTATCCGCGTTTTTCTCGCAAATATTGTTATTTTATTGCTCGTCGTGCTCATTGACAGCGCGTTTGTCGTCAAAAACGCGAAAAACAGCTTGACCGTTTGGCGCTGCGGTTAGGTGGCGCAAGCTACCGTCCGGGGCCACCCTGGTCCGCGGCGTTCATCGTGCTAGAGCGAACTCGCTCGCGTTATCTTGTGCGCACTTGCGTTTAGCTCCCGCCGCCGTTTGCCTCAGCTCTTCGGGATGGCGCACGACGTAGAAACTGCTGCTGCGGCTCTTTGGTGCTTTTATGTGCCGTAGACTCAGACGACGAGATGCCACCAACCAAGAAGCCGCGATCAAAGTGGACCAGCCAGTGGCTGCAAAGAGTGCATCAACAAGGCGCTTACGAGAATCTAATGAGGGAGTTGGCCTTAGAAGATTCAGAAGCATACCGTCGCTGGATCCGAATGGACACTGGCTCCTTTGAGGAGCTTCTCGCAAGGGTTCGACCTTTAATCGAGAAAAGGGACACGAATTTCCGGTTGTGTGTCCCGGCCGGAGAGCGGCTCGCAATTACATTGCGATATCTTGCCACTGGTAAGTTTCGGCCTTGCTTTATGTACGAATTCGTGCTGCTTCAGCAGCCAGGAGTTCCCTATTTTGCCGGCACATTAGCCCGGTAAAATTATTGCCGAAGCAGCCTCCCTTTCTTTTGGGCCGCGTCTACTTTCACGTGTGGCAGTCTGCCGGTGTCAGCAAAATACCCCCCCCCCCCCCCCCAAAAAAAAAAAAAAAAAAAAAAAAAAACAATAAATAAAGAGTAATGCTATATGCACTCCGGAGTGCAGCTCGGACGGAAATTGCTATACGCACTACGTTGGGTCTCGTATAAAACGAATGGTGAAAATCGGTTTCTGCAGCGGTGGTGTAGCGTAGTGGAAAGGTGTCTGCTTTACACACAGCGGACCCGGGTTTGATCAAAAACTAGGAGGTATTGGTTTGATTAACGGTGGGTGCTAATTTTTTTTTTTTTGGTCGAAGCGACGTGAACGCAGGCGGGGGTGTGGGTTAACACGCTTCCCAGTAATACACGCGCCGTCCGATCGGGGTGACCCAAATAACACGAGCTCTTCGCATTTCAGACGGAACTCTAGTGGCGACTATCGTTCCGTCTGGACGGAACGCTAGCCACACTTTTTGCGGTAATACAGTATTTCCTAGGTATGCTGCCATTCCCTCACTGTTTTATGGCTATTTCCTTTTTTCTTTTGCGGATTATGTTTGCTAAAACGACACCAACTGGCGGTAGAAAGGTAAAAATTAACATTGTCACAATCTTCTATACTTATTTTCAGAAGACAGTCAGACATCGCTGCAGTACCACTTCCGGAGGGCGCACAACACCGTGTCCAACATTGTGGCAGACGTATGTCCTGCAATCTACAGTGTCCTCAGGGATGATTTCCTAAAGGTATTATAGACATTCTTTTTTCATAGATTTCCGAAGGATAAAAATTATAAAACGCGAAATGAAGACACAGAAACACGTAAATGCTTGTGCTTATTTGTCCCTGGATTTTTCCACACTTTGATTTCCCAGATTTCTATGGCAATACGCACATGATTGTAATGTTAGGATTGTTCGAGATTGTAGAATGCCTTATCACTTAAAAAAGGGAATCTCAGAAACTTCTTTAGTGCCCCTTTGAGGATTAAGGGCCATGAAAAGTTCAAACTATGTCTGAGGTGGCAGGTATCTCCCGGCTGATTCAAAGAAACAAAGAGCAGTGGAGCTAGTGCAATCGTGTCCCTGCGGAAAATGTCCGTAATCGATCTGGCTTCACTACTATAGCTGCCGAGAGGTTAAAAATGAAGTAGAAGCCCCACCTTTCATGCAAGCATTGTACTCTCTATAACACAAGTGCGCAGGTGTTACTAGAGCATGGTGGAAAACTAGCGCATGTTGGAGGCAGGGCATCTACTACTACGCAAACGGCACTAAGCATTCTAAATGTGAACCTGCCCATTGAGGGTCCGGCACTAATTCACTTTTTTGATCAAAATCTTCGGGCACACGGTGGATAGCGGACGAAGCTGTCGGTTGAAGAACTTAAAGCGCGTGCTTGGGGTCACGAACCGACTATTGCAAACGTGGCATCTCTTGCATGCATAGGGCACCAGTCAAGAAAGCACCATCATGCACGTGAAGGTAGCTTTGGCAGGCTTGAATTTGTGCATGATTGCCTTCATTAGCAAAGGCATATGGCAGGAGCCAGATGCTTACTTGTAGCAGATGAGGGGCTCCCAGGTTTCTCCGACTTTTGCAGTATGTTTAAACACAATGTGATACCTGCCCCCTCCCACAAACTTGCCGTGCATTGAAAATAATCCAAAATGTATCTTAATGGACAACAGACTTCACACGCCGAACCTAATAGAAAATAAAAGTTTCGCCCACAAGTCTGGCTAACTCGTTACACCAAGATGGCCTGTTGGTTAAACCGGTTGTCATCATTATCGGGTCTAATTCTGAAGATAAGCTGACAACCTGATCAGAATAAGCTTTCTCGGGTCAGCCACCCATCCACCCCTAAATGCCCAGCCTGGGTTTGCCATGCAGGTCAATGTTACATCTGTTACGGTTGTAAGTACCTTTTCCTTTTATTTCAGGTGCCCAGTAGTCCTGCAGAGTGGAAGGCCGTTGCGCAGGGCTACCAGGACCTGTGGCAGTTTCCGCATTGCGTTGGTGCACTGGATGGGAAACACGTTGCCCTGGTGCCACCACATGAGACTGGGGCACAGTTCCGAAACTACAAAGGATTCTTCAGCATTGTTTTGATGGCACTGGTGGATGCAGACTTAAACTTCATATTTGTAGATGTCGGCCGAAATGGTCGTATGAACGACAGCGGCATCTGGGGTGCCTGCAAGCTTAAGGAGACTCTGGAGAGGCAACCCTCCATACTTCCGGATGCCGAACTGCTTCCTAGGTCAAGAGACTCGGCACCCTACGTCATTGTGGGGGATGAAGGCTTTGGGCTAAAACCCTACTTGATGAGACCGTACCCTGCAGCTGAGCTCACCACTGACAAGCGGCTGTTTAACTACAGGTAGAGTGCACTATTGTGGATAGTATGAGCCGAGTTATATCCCCATGCTCATTTGGCATACCTACTAGTTTTGGAAGATACTATGGGGCAGATTGGAGATGCAAACAGCGCACCTATGTTTGTATGCGCAAGGGATCGGTGCACATAAACAGAGGCAAAGAAATCAGGCGTAGAGATTCACCCGTAAATTATTACTGTTGGTTCAGTGGTTATGGAGAAGTGGACAAATGTGTGATATAATGCATGTCATGTCACTTCAGCTAAACATACAGCAGTTTGAGACTTCAAGGGATGAAGCATGCATGAAAAAGTATCATGGATAGCACATCATTTTAATTTATGTGCAATCTTGGACTATTCTTTTATATGCCTGATAAATATGAGCTACGGGCTATACACTTGAGGCAACCTCAATAATCCATTTCACTTATATATTTATATATATATATATATATGGTGAGAAGGGTTGTTTTTGACAAGTGCAGCCTTGAGTAATGTGCAAAAGAAAGGGTGAAGGGGAAGGAGTTTAATTTTTTCATTAAGCTGGAAGGAAAGAGCTGGCAAAAAATTGGGCCAGGAGTCGCAATTAAATCCATAACCTCTGCCTAAGCGGGGCAGCACCTTAATCGATTAGGCCATCCTGAGCCACTGGTTTCGACGGGCTGAAGTTTTGACCAGATGTTTGAGGGAAGTTAGTTTTGATTTCAGTTAACGTGGAATACGTCTGCCAATGGCTGACGTAAGGTCCTGTTAGCTCCGAGTGCTGCAGCAGTGACATGGCACGTCATTTCGGCTCGCAATGTCAGAAAGGCCCGTCTAGGTTGGGGGATCACACGAAAGCACTCCAACATTTTAGTTGCTTAGTTGACACCTGTGCACTTTCTTCTAGGCTTTCACGTGCCCGCCGCACGTCTGAGAATGCCTTCGGAGTGCTTGTGAACCGATGGCAAATCTACCGGTCTCCCCTTCGCCATGACCCAAAGCGAGCCACTGACATCGTTCTGGCCACAGTGGCTCTCCACAACTTCCTCCGGTCAAAGCGGATAACTCGGCAGCTGTATACCCCACAGGACAGCTTGGATGTCGAAGACATCTTGACTGGTGTGTATACTCTGAACCACTTTTATATCCCGCAATGGGATGATCAGCGTATGTATGACACCGCCATAACTTCAGTTCACAGGAAACAGGCTGCAATGCATGAATTGCTCGTGGTATGTCAAGCTGTGCAAGCGCACGCCCACGGCGAGGTTGTTAAGTGCACTATATAGCGCCCTTGGCGCAGAGTAGTGCAGTCCATGGCCGACAGAGCAGCGCGTAATGAGTCTCGTGGTGCTCCTGTTTCCTGGAGGCATCCCCTTCTCTTCCCCTTACGTGAAAATGCATGAATGTCGACGAAACAACGAATTAACATTCTATTAAAATACAGGAGCCGCGCTCACACTTTTCAACACTGTTCTGTCATGAAGAAATGACTCGAAATGACTAAAGGGGCTCAGAAACTGACTAGACAAAAGCTCACCGATCTTGCATGTAAACATCAGAATAAATTTATTTGCTTTCCTTTGCCCCCCCCCCCCCCCCCCCCTTCCCTCCCCCGCCGCCCCACCCATCTTTCAAGTTTAAATGACTAGGCACCCCATCCGTTTAGCGGCCATGGGATTGCTGCTGCTTATGTCCTATCTGGGAGAGGGACATTAGCTGATATAGTTGTTCTAACCTGTAATATGGATGCCCATGTAGTGGTCTTAGTGGAAATTAGCAAAATGCTCATGCGATATAATCTGCTGCGATATGTTATTATGTGGGGCTCTCTGAAGGATAACGTGATAAAGGCATTTCACGGATTCTTCTCATACAACTCTGGAGTCGCTACATACATCAAATAGAAGCTTTTAACTCAGTGAGGCTTCGTCATGGAACATTAATAGACTGGTACGCTTTTGTCCACGTAGATAAAGTCGTGGTGAGTTTTAGCCAAGGGATCAGTGACACACATGGCGTTAATTTAAAGCTCAGTAATATTACTGACGTGCTAGAGTGAGATCCTGTGGCTAAATCTCACATGCATTGCTGCAGCAGCAGTGTGGTCGCCAGGCGGCAAAACACTCTTAAAATTGTGTGTCTCAGTAACATTTCTTTATGGCCCACAGGCAATGTGCGAAATGGATCATGGAGACAGGGGGTGACTCCCGCTGGTGCCATGAGACAGTTCCGAAGAGGCGGAAGCAACTCCAGTGACACTGCCAAGGCAGTGCGCAACTTGTTCATGAACTACTTTGTCAACGAGGGACAAGTGAGCTGGCAGTGGCGAATGATCCCCTAAACAGGTATTTCTTCAAACGGTCTGACAAAATTTTAATATAAAATGGGAAGTCACAAGCACAAACTTAAAATAAAGTGGTGATTTCAGATTGAATCATTGAATAGAACTTTGTTTATGATAAAGCAGGAGCCTCCATTTTAGGTTGCCTGGAAAGACTGCTAGTTCACTACTAAACAATGAATCGTAGTAGTTATCTTGACCGAACCCATGTTCACCTAAGCAACCACTTGTTTGATGAGCATTTGCCTGTGCATGAAACGGCGAGGTATCATACTATGGGCTTTTGTCTGGTACAGACCCGTCTCGTCAACACATAAAGCAAGAATAGTGATGCTATTTGTCATTGCTTCAAGTAGGAATGCAGCGTAAAAGTAGACTAATGCGTAAATTTAAGGGCCTACAGACACTGTGATAGTGTGTCGCTGCGGCACCGAAGTCAAATATGCGCCTATATATTGGTTGATGCAGGCATGTAGCCAGGATTTTACTTTGTGTGTGTGTGGGGGGGGAGGGGGGGGGGGAGGGGGAGGAAGAGGAAGGAAGGCAGGCAGGGAGGATAGGCCCCATGGTGCAAGACAGACAGTCGGCTGGTCCAAGAAGCATGTAGCTTTCACCGTGCTTCCACTTATGGGTGAACAGAGTATGCCCGATGTCAAACAGATTATGCAGATAGCATGATGCCTTATCAGAGACACAGCGGTGACCGATGAAATGAATATGCAAATAACTTCAGGATATGGGAGGACTTAGCACCAGCCCAGTGTGACTTTATTCGTCAGGCGCCACCTGGATAATCTCGGGCCGAGTGTTAATGTTTATGCTATACTTGACGACAGCTTCGTGCGCCAGCAGGCCAGCCATTTGCCTGTGAGGGCCCTGCGGCACATGCCGGAGCGCATTGGCCATCATGACGCCGAAGTCGTCACATTCGTCCTTTTGCTTGGTTGCCTCGACGGCCTTACTCAATGCCTGTGTTGCTGACTCAAGAAGCAGTCTCTTTTCAGCGGCACAGTCATCTGGCTGCTTCCTTTTTGCAGGCACACTTGGGCGTCCACTGGAACTCCCGGCACCGCTTGTGCTAGCTCCGTCGCTTGAGCCTCTATGGCAGCTGCTAGGGGCATTGCCTGGGCTGGGCGCTTGGCTGCAGCTGCTCAGCTCATCTTCCAAATCGAGGCTTGAGGGATCTACAGGATCGCTCCCTTCCAAGTGCCCCCAAGGGCTGTTGTCAGCTCCCACTTGAGAGCTTCGGCTGTCCTGCGAGCATGGTTCAGCCTGCAAGTATGAAAATGCTTGTATAGATGACATAATTTTCTTTATTTGCAACAAATAAAAACACACAGCATATAGTGATTGTTGGCTTCTAGTTTTCTTCCCATGAAACTATTTTTATGAGAAATCTGGTCCTTGTTGAAAAATGTCATCGGCCTTATGGCATTGAGCTATATCTGATGTCCGTAGATTATGATTGGATTATAATTAAGTGTAGTACTCATCACAGCTAAACATTGCACTTTTTACATTGCTTACTCACAGATATCAGCAAGAAACCTTTGCTGTGCCAGAGATGAACGACGTGATAATTAAGCATCTGACAATTATCACACTGTGTGGATGTTTTGTTTACGTATCTATGCAATTTTACAGTGCTTCATCTCGGGCATTGCCAGCAAAACAATAAAGTGTGCCCACCAACTCGCTGTAGTTCTCATGGAACCGAGGTGTCCAGTCTGTTGGCACCTTCCAACAGAATCTACACCTACCATCTGTGATTTCATATTTGCTTCTCGAATCTTTAGTGCTGGGCTATTGAAAGGTCACTTCGTAGCTGTGCGAACGTGTACATTTTGCATACAAAAGTAATTGGGACAAGCAATCATTGTCAGTTATGGAGTGAGAAAAATGGGTGACTGGTTACAGCTACTTTTTGTCACTTACATTTGGGGGGACCATGTTTGACTGGCTCTCATGTTGGGGACACGCACTCTGTAGGAACAGGAGGTCTACATAGTGGCCCCATCTGGGCACATACAGGTCGTCGAGACTTGCTCCAGATTTGTTGCTGCCCTTTACCTTTCGGATCTCCCGCTGAAATTGCGAGCGCAGGTTCGAGAACCTGGCTTTCACCGCTGCCCCTGCATGAACCACAAACAGTTATAGGCTACAAAAAACTCTGCAGGGCAATCGGGCACACAAGCATGTTGTCTGTGGCTAGTACATTGTGTTTCTGTACTCGACGCTATCGCATGTCAGTAAGCTTTACATGACGTACAATTGTCACCTTGTTCCAGGGGCGAGATAGCAGTTGGATAAGCAGATTTCACCAGGAGAAAACAGAAAATTTGCTTTACGAACGACAGTCCAGAAGGTGAGACTGTCGTTCTCACACCTACCAGTACACGCAAATGTTTGTATGTGTATTTCTCGAAGTTAACAAGCCGCGCGAATCGGGTACAAATACGCATGTGCCAAAGCAGCTGAATATGTGTCGCTTATTATGAGCTGAAGTAAGCTAAGCTAAGGTTTGTAAAACGCAGGTCTGCTGAATTTACGCGAAAACGACAGCGCAAATTCAACACTCCAGGTCCCTCGTTTTATGCATACCTGTAAAACCGGGCCCCAGCACACTCGCGACGTCTTCATAGGCCTTGTCCTTCAGGTCTCGTCGGTGGTAGCGCGCGTCCTTTGCATCCCACAGGTAGCGGCGTTCTTGGATCAACCCGATCATTTCAGTCTCGTCGGCTTGCGTAAACGACACGGCTGGGATGGTCGACGGCATCGTGAGGAAGGTGAGAAGACTGCACTGACTGCACCAACTGCACTACTTCGCTCGACAAAGCAAGAGAAAGAAGCATGGGCTAACGCGATATCGATTGGTCTTCAATTTGAAAGTTTACAACCCGCATAATTAAATATTTAGAAGATACCGCACGTCTCAGCCGTGAAAAAGCACATATGATGTTGTGTTTCCGGCGAAAAAATTCGCTCACCCGCCGACCTGGGCAACATGCGACGTCCAACACAGTTTTCTGCTTGTTTCCGTTGCTAAAGCTGTCATATCAAAGCAACATTGTCGCTGTCGTCCGCCGTGTTTCTCTGTTTCCGCAATGTGACAGGACTGTCGGGCAACAGGGGGAACGCCGAACAAGTTGATCGACTGTTCATGAACATGTTGTGTTGCTGTTTCTGTCGTGTTTCCTCAATGTGACAGCGCCTTTAGTAAAGTCTCACGATCCAAGGTCGCTTTCACAAGGACGCCAGAATCCCATGTTGTAAGCACAATCTCTTCATCCTCCGGGATATGAAGTTCCTCGAGTCTAAGAAACTGGCTTTTTGGGCAGTGATCACAGTGTACTTAAAGACGCAGGCCTGTTAGTGGATCGCACAGAAATGCTGAGTTCCTTTAACCAGTGTTGAATGTTGAGCCTATAACGTTCTCTAGAACGGCAACACAAGGAAATAATTAGCGCAGCGCACACAAAAACACACTTCCTGGTTTGGAATACATTTCACCTATTTAGGGCGCAAGGAATAAAATTTCGTTAGCCTAACGCCGGAATCAGGATCCTTGTCTTCGTATACACGAAAGGCCTCTCGGCTTGTGCGTGCATGTCAGGAAGCGCTTTGGCACGAGCGTTTTCTCCCCGTCGAGCATGACAAAGATCACGTACTTCTGGTTGGCACATTGGCGCGAACAATGTACCTCGTCTTTCGTGAAGTGCTATACACTCTTAGAAAAAAGGGTATCGATAGGGAAAGAGAGAAACCTTCGTCCCTGAAGCAGGGGAGCAAATAGTTCCTCCGTCGCCTGCATCTCATTATGGCGGCGCTGAATCGAGCAAATCAAGCTCAATAAGGCTTAACAAGGACGCTATGTTTCTTGTACGGGACGAGAGGAGCAGCAAATAAAAGCGTAACACGAGCTTTCCGCGAACTGTGTTTTTTTCCGAAGCCAGATTCCCCCCGCAGGTTAAGAAACTTGCGTTTCGAAAGCAGTTACTCAGTATTCTCGTCGTCAGCACTGCGATGTTAAACGGAGACAACCGATACCCGGTTGCTTCGCGCCGTTTACGTCTTACCTTTGCTGTTCCTCGAGTCACAATTCCTTCGGCAACCGTACATCACGGAGGAATGGCAAACACATCCGCGAAACCAAAAGCCGCTTTAAAAAAAGAAAAAAACAAAACAAAAAAAACTGGAAGCCGCTGTTTATCGCGCAGCGTGAAAGAAGGTTATATCTTTTGCCACCAGATGGCAGGGTCAAACAGAGTAATTGCAAGTAGCTAGGCTAGGTTACGCTAGGTACCGCCCCATTCATGTTCTACAAAAAAAATATTTCCGCTGGCCATCTCGCGTTTCGCTATCTTCGGGAACCTGTAGTGCACACACATGTGCACACACATACGCACACTACAAGCATCAGGTGGACATACATTGAGCGCATACACATGCATGGCACTTACGAACATCAATACAACGGCACACTAAAACCCGAAGACTTCACCCCAGCTCTGCTTTTCCGTCTTTTATACTGGTCGTTTTGAACGCACGGAATTTTCGGTGCCTGCGTCAGCAATAAAAAATATTTCCAGCGTGTTTATTTTTTTTGCCAGCAATGTCATACCTCTGGGAGTATTCTGAATGGCTCAGGGGATGAATCTCTTATTAAAAAGTAAACGCTCGATCATGCCGTAATTATTTGAACGCCAATAAATCAAGCCGCTCCAATGCGGTTCGAAGCCATGAGTTTGTTCCCCCGCACGGCACGTCGTAGCCTGCATTTCTATTGTAGTGTTTTTTTGTTTTTTTTCTATTTGTGCTGTTCGCGCACGGCTGCAATTGCCGTCTTGAATTAATCTCTGTAGGACGGATAATCAACCAGCTGGTAATGATGCTTCACGGGCAGAGAAATTGCTTTTCGATCAACTGGAATGCAGTCAAAGCCGCGACTTGCGGCAGGTGTTAAGTGTACGGAGCTACGCCGTGGCGTGCTGGAAAACTTATAGCGCTCATTCCAGCGCGCCACTTGGAGGGCAGTCTCTCCAGGAACCGTAGTATACATGATGGGGAAAACAGCTCAGAAAACACGGACTACGAAGAGGAACAAACACGACAGGACAATGCTGTACTCGCAACTGAAGAATTTTAATAACGGAAACAAAGACAGAAAAACTATACACAGTATCTTAAAAGATAATCTTTTAAGATACTGTGTATAGTTTTTCTGTCTTTGTTTCCGTTATTAAAATTCTTCAGATGCGAGTACAGCATTGTCCTGTCGTGTTTGTTCCTCTTTGTAGTCCGTGTTTTCTGAGCTGTTTTCCCCATCATGTATAACGTCAACCAACTGACCCAGTTCTCCACCTTATAACCGTAGTATATTTAAACAGCAAAATAAAGAGTAACTTTTTTTTTTATTTCGTGCTACTTTTTTTTATGCTAAAATTCCACACTGTGAATACACGTACTTTCCATTATAATTTCGTACTGTTCTGTCCTTTTCTCAGAGCGCAATCGAATCTCGGGGAGGAGACAACCGACAGTCACACTGGCATCTTTCTGTACGATAGTAGCTTACCATTCAGACCAGCGTTCCTACATGACTATCCGCACGTCGATCGATTGCGCCTAATTCCTCAAGTGGTCTTAAACTCTTTAATGTAAAGCGGAATGTCAAACTGCGACACCCCGCCCCCTCCGATCACGGCCCGACCAGCGGCATCAATGCCCGACAGTTTACGTTATCTCATTGTGTTGTTACAGTATTGATACGCGAACACACGGTCACATCGGCGATAATTCCAGTCATCTGTTCACAACGCACAACACTGCCATCACGATGTTGCTGCTGTTGCTGACACGCAGAAATACAGAGCCGCGTTGATTGCCGGTTCACACTCGGCATCGGAAAACAGAACCGAACTCAGCACGGAAGGCAGCCGGCAGCAAAACCTGCCTGTGTTGGATGCAGTTCCTGCGATTTCCATAACATCGAAAAAGTCGACACAGCTCCGCGTGGTTCCGCTACTGTAGTTCCGCATGGATCCCGCAATCCGGCGACTGCCATCTTACCCAGTGCAGGTAGCGCTGCTGGCACTGCTCCGGAACTTCGCTGTTTCTAGCGGCTTCGTTAGCTCGTTTGATAAAATTAGTGATAAAAACGTCAGTACAACCGAAATGTTCTGCACGTTTGGACTACAAGACGGAATTGCAGGCGGCCTTCGCCGCCGCTGAAGGTTAATCAAGTCAAAAACATTTATTAAACAATGTGCGCGACGTGCTCAAAAAACGAAACCGAAAGAAGATGAGTCGGGAGGGCGAAAGCTTTGTCCCGCCTGCCTGGAGAAGGAGAAAAACGTCTCGTTCCTCCCTTCTTCTCGTGTCCGCTTGGGGGCGCGTCAGTAGAAGGGAGGGAGACGAGCCGTTGCTACCTTTTTCCTCCATGTCTTCTAGAGCGTAGGCAGCAGACACGTTCTCAGGGCTCTCCTTGCACCTCGCGTAAGGATTTAGCTGATACCACACGCCATGCTATATAGAGCGTAAACACTGTCGCCATGTTAACCTTTTCTAGGTTAACATGGCGACAGTGTTTACGCTCTATTGTATTTAGACGGGGCTCGAGCATTTGGAGATTCTGATGTCTGTCGGTGTGCCCCTTTGTGCCTAATATTATCGTACTACAGGTTTGACTTGAGCTAGTTGGTACATATTAATAGGGTAAGCTGAACAGTTACAAATAAGAAAAACCAAGATAGGAAAACAGATACCGCTGACTATCGACTTGCTTCCTTTAATACTTCGCCTTCCTCTTTTCTTTTTTCTACTGCAGCTAGGGATAAAAACCTATCCCCCATGTCCGGGCGCTGCACCTATTAGGGTGCCAAGTGGCTCATGCCACACCTCAAGGGTTGTCTTTCTTTCGTTTGGATCGTGATAGACTGGGTGCTCACGCGCACTTGACCACTTTTTTCAATGGCCGGGGCTTCAATTACTTTGCGTGCATAGGCGTTCCGGTGTAGCCCTCAAGTGGTAATGTTGTTAATATTAGGAGTGCAATTGCAGGAGCGGCAGTTTGTGGAGAGATGTCCCGCCAATGTTCCTTTAACAAAAGCCGAGTGCTCCCTAGCTCGATCGTTCACACACCGCCCAGTTTTCCCTATATAGTACCTGCTGCAGGAAAGTGGTATGTGGTACACAACGCCCATTTGGCACGGGGTATACTGCGTCCTGTGAGCAATAGGGCATTGTTCCTTTTCTTGATTCGTTCTTTGATTAGTTCTGCGGCACATGGAGTACGCCTCGTTTGGTGCCGAGAACACAGCCGAATATCATAAATTCAGCAGTCATTTTAGGTTGTGCGTGAGTCCATGTACGTAGGGTATAACCGCAAAGTTTCTTCAATTTGTAGCTTTCGATGAAGGCACATTGCCTGCATGCTGGCATTTCAATTTCTGGCAAATGGTTT